CCTCAGTTTTGTAGTACATAAGGTGGTATAGCTTAACGCTTTCTGATTTGTCAGAAAGTGTTTCACTACCTTAAGAAAATTACATATTTCTAAGGTATCTAAACCCCAAAACTGTGGCACACATGATCAGTTTAGGAACTATAGATTGTGACAATTATTTCTTTGCTGTACTGACTTCAGTCAGGGTATTTGCAATACTCCTGATACTTAGAACAGGAAATACCAAAAATGGCAAACACAAGGTAGGGCAGTGTGGCACCTTAGACACTAACTAGGTCAGAGAGGAATGAGGTTTCATAGCAATAGTCTAACAAAGTAGGTTGTTGCTTACAAAAACTCATTCTCTGAAACAGCCTGTAAGATATTACTTTAGATTGACATAGCCAACCGTCTGTATGTTCATAAATGGGAAAGTATTTCACCACAGACAGTGAAAGAGTAGTCGGTGCTGTCCTGCATGGAGAGAACTAGACTGAGAACTAGGAAATGGGTTCTGTTACTACTGCAGCCACCAACCTGACACTTGATCTTGGGTAAATCATTTCTCCTTTCTGCACCTTTATAATCCCCTGGAAAAATTCTGTGGTTTGTATGATGTAAAAGATCAGCATGATCCTTCTAGAGACCATAAATCTATGACAGTACCCTGATTTTAATGGCATTCATACATAAGTTTACTAGTATATCTCAGTCTATACTGTTCAATCATTTTGAACTTTGTATCCCCGAATCATTTTGTAATTGATATTGTAATATACAGCGTTAGTATTTAAAAAGAATGTAAGTGCCTTTCACATATAGAAACATTAAATAGGAAGAAAAATATCTTTAAACAAAAAGTGTCTTAGAAGAGCTGGAATCTTTTTCAATGGATCTTTGCACAAAGTGATTTTCTGAAATATTTTCAAGGTTTCCAATATACAAAATACGGGTGCCGGAGGAAAAGTGATAACAAAATGGTTCATCGCAGCTTCTGTGAAGCCAGCAAAAAGCCAAAGCCTATTCGTAGAATGTGCAATCTTCAGGAATGTACCCAGCCACTGTAAGTATGGCAGCATTAGGAAATTACCATACTTAATAGAGGTGGGAGCCACAACATGTCTGAGTTATGGGCTGCTGAGGGGGTGCAGAATGTTGTTCCAATCTCTTGGCACGTTTGCCATCAATATAAGAAAAGTTGATGGCCTCATTCTTACTGGACACCAGCTTTCATCCCAAAAGCATAGCAGGTACTAATAGTCACCAGCATTAACACTCTCCATACAGAGGCTAAAGGCTGTGAGAGCAAGGACTGTGCATTTTCCTTCTCTCCTGTCCTACGCAGCGATACTCCATTCAGTTCAGGGTTAAGGCATGATAGTAGTAAAGTGCTTTCTTATTCTGGATAATATTCATTCTTTTTAAAGGGTCAGCACTAAGCCGTCTTGAATAAAGTGGATTCATGTAGTGCAGAGGATCTTAGGAAAGTAGGGATAGAAGGGACCTCATGAGGTCTTCTATTCCAGACCCCATGAATATCCCCGAGTATACCATCCCAGCTAAGTATCTGTCTAACCTGCTCTTGAAAATTTCCAGAGATGGCGAATCCACAGTTTCTGTAGGCAACGTGTTCCAATGCTTGATCATCCACATAATCATCCTCATAATCTTCATAATCTCCAGCCAAAGTTTCCTCTGCTGTATCTTGAGGCCATTGCCCTGAGTCCTGTCCCCTACAGCTACCAAGAAAGGTCTGTCTTCATCCTCTTTATAATCTCCTTTTAGGTATTTGAAGACCATTATCAAATCTCTTCCACTGAGCCCTCACCTGTACTTTTCTCTTTTCTACATTTTTAGTTTAGAAAAAAACTTATGAAGAAAGCCCTCTATAATCATTTTTTTTCATTTTCTTGAACTGTGGGACACAAAACTAGACATAGTCCTCCAGGTGAGGTCTCAACAGTGCTGAATAGAATGGAAGAATCACTTCCCTTGATTTGCAAGTGGCATTCCTGTTAATATAACCCAGTATGCTGTCAGCTTCTTTGCAACAACAGCACACAGTTGGCTCATTGTTGGCACTGTTGATTCATCTCTAGCTTGTGGTCCTAGGTCCTCCTTGTGCTGATCTTGTGCTGCTCCTCTGACTGTGGGTAAATATCATAGAGGCTACTAGTTTCTTTCACAAATACTCAAAACAAAACAATCCTAGTAACAGAAAACAGTTTCTAAATAGGCATAAACTGCAGATACTTCTATGACTGCAGCTTGTGTAAATCTATCCAAGATCACTTAGGCAGGCAAGCTTGTATATTTCTAATTGTGTGAAGATGGTGACATGGAACTCCATGCAAACCTGACTGAGAGATGGATCCACATTTGAGTTGGAAGCCTGCCCTCACGTCTGGCCCATTGTGGCCTCATTTCTGTTGATACAGAAATTAACTAATTTAAAACTAGATAGAATTACATCTGCACAAGCTGCAGCCATACAATCTTGGTTAGCCCTTCTGAGAAGGTCCCACAGAACTTACCTGGGATGAAACCAACTTAAAATGAAGTACTAGCTAAAAGAAAGCTGCAGATGTCACATAGAATTATGTAGAGGATTATTAAAGGTTACTTTAAAAAAATCATTCTCTATTAAATTCTGTTGGAAGTATCTGGGCAGTGCCCCAATACCTACCATGAATTTCACTCATGGGATAGAGACAAACATTTAAAAAGGCTAAGCCTGAATTGATTCATTCTTAGCAGATTAGTTTAACCTGCAAAGTGGAAACCTATTTGGAGGTGGATAGACATTCCCTTTTCATTCCAGAAA